TTTTCATATGCTTCATGTATCTGCTCATTTGAGAATTTGCTTGATTGATACATTTTTTCTTTTCCTTCAAGCCAATGATCAATATTCCTTTTTGAAGTAATGCCTTTTTCATACGAAGCTTTCAATGTTTGCTTCTTCATGTGATTAGGAAAGTTTGGATTTTGGGGAACAAAATCAACATTAGGGTTTGAAAGATATGACTCTCTAGAAGATCTGCTAACATGTCTTTGAAAAAGTTGCCTTTTTGAATTTAAAGAAAATTGTTGTTCATCCTTTTTCTGAAAATTTTCCTTCAAAGTGGTGTTTTTGAAAATTTTGAAAGTTTTGATTGATTATTCATTTCATTCTTTGATTGAAAAACTTGTTTTGTTGACTTGTTTTCAGACACTAGCGTGTTTGTATTATTAAGACCCATCTTTCTATTTGAAAAGGTTGTTGACTTCTTATCTGAAAAAGATTTTGTTGTTGATTTTAACTCCTTTTAAGATTCAATTGTTTACCAAAAAAAATTCTTTCTTGCTTGCCTTTTTGAAACATTATTATCTTTTGAAAATTTAGCAACTTGTTCTTTAAATTCCTTAGAATTTAATTTTAAGACATCTTCATTTGCTAATTCAACAATTTTATTTACTTGTTTTTCAATCTTAGAATTTTCAACTTGTTTGAATTCTTCTTTTATGATTGTTGACTTTTCAACCCATCTTCTTTTTGGTTTTTGTCTTTGGAAAATATAAGAATTTTTGGTTAGGTTATTTTCAGTCATGCTTTGATTTGCAAAGAAACCTTCATCTGTTGTTTTCAAGTTGTCTTCATCAATGAGCTTTTTGAATTCAGGCTTTACATTTTCATCATTGCCTGATGTTACGAAGACTTGGTTTGGAAAAACAACATCATCAGTGCACTTAAATATGGGGTATACAACAGTGTTTGTTTCTAAGTAATGAGCACCATGTTCAGTTAACACTTTTTCAAATTTCTGTGTATCTCCATACACTTGATCCACAACCACTCGAGGAATTTCTTCGTCTTTTGAAATTTCCTTTTTCTTCGTATGTTTTCTTTCTTTTTCATCATCACTATCATCTATTTGACTATCTCTAACTTCCACAAAGTTCATATCATAAACTTTTCAAATTGAAGGTTGATCAGTGTCAATGTTAACCAACAAATCGTTTAGTTTTTCCTTCCCTTTAGATGATGATGTCACATTAATAATAGACAACTGAGTACAATCAACATCCTCAAGATCACTAATTTCACTAATATTGTCAGAATTATCCTCAATATCAGCAAAATTTGATTGATAATCAGATGTTGATTTTTCAGTTCTTTTCAAAATTTGAATTTGTTCAGACTTAGTTAAAGTTTCATTTACAATGTTAACCAAATCAGTTGTATGAAGACATTCATCAACATTAACAATTCCATATCTATATCTATCATTTGGAACTTTGTTAAAATCAATAATTTACTTTTCACAATCATACAGAAGATTATCTACTTTAGCTCTCTCAAAAGCTAAAAATTGCAGCAATTTTCTATGTTGTTCTTTACTGATTTCGAATGAATGATGTAATTCTGTCAATTTACCATATAATCGTTTTGTTGAATTACAATAGATATTCCTTTGAGCCAATAACATTTTAGAGTCCCTAGCTAGATTATCTCTATCTACCATAATATTCGTTATTTGAAGTTCTAATCATTCAATTTTAGCAATTTTTACATCAAGTTTCTTCTTTATCTCAAGCAACTGATCAGACAGCTTCTTAGCCTCATTGCTAGTAGATACCACGATTGAATCAAAATAAGTAATTGTATCATCAAAAGAAACTAATTCAGAATTATATGCATGTAATGGAATATTAAAAGATTCAAGAACGTTACGTACCTTTGTGGTCATTGGAGACTTACCAGCTATTTTAGATACGAAGTATCTCCCATGGACTTCGCATTCCTCTTCATCTGAATCTTCCTCCATCTTAGCAAACATTGCTCCATGAGTTGGGTTTCGCATTTCATCATCATCTGATCCAGACGACCAGATTTGATACGTACCTTCCTCTTCTTGTTCACCATGAGCAACCAATGAGAAATTCTTTGTCTTTGTACGTATCTCCTCCAACTTTTCCACATAGTATGCTTCATCTTTTGTCTTATTTTTCCTCTTCTCTCTTCCTCAACATGCAGTCATTAGCCAAATGATTAGGCCCATTACAGTAATGACAATCCAAGCCAGTATCTCCCTTCAACTTTTTCTCAGTTTTTCCTTCAGCAATCTTCGAATCATTATTCTCTTCTTTCTTCTTCTCATCCACAACACTCTTTCTTCCAAAATTTCCTTTTGTTTCCAATGACTTTGCCTTCGAATTGAATGGCTTTTTGAAAAACTTTTTCACACGATTGTTAGAATAAAAAGCAATCGCTTCGTCATCAGAATTCCTAATGAATCCTTCGTCTTCGTCAGAACCCTCTCTTTTAGTTTCTCTTTTCGAAATTTTTGAAACCAATGGCAGTGGACCGCCCAAGCTTGCCTTTGTCTCTTCAACAATTTCATTCACTTCACTTTCATGTGACTTGAATTGATTGTAAACATCATTCAGAGTTGACATATCAAAACTCTGTTGATTTTTAACCGTCATGCTTATACTACGCCATTCTTTACGAAGACCCATCACAAAAATCAAATTGTATTCCATGGCTGAATGGGTGATTCCATATCGGTTGCAATGATATATTAATTTATTAAGACGATCATAATAAACTTCTATGGTTTCAACATCTTTTTGCTTGAAGTCTTTCAGTTCCACTAGACATTGTTTGACTGAAGTGATTTTAGTTTTCTCACTTCCTTGGAATTTATCCTTCAAATTGTTACAGATCTCCTTTGCAGTAGTACACGATCTCACGTAATTGAATACAACAGGAGGCAAAGCACCTTGCAACTCCCTAATACCTCTTTTCTCCAGTGGCTTCAGACGAGTGGTTTGATTTGCAACTTCAGAATTTGATGATGATGATCCTATGAACTGAACATTAGTAGGAGGATTTACATCACCAGAAATGCAATTCCATAGTTCTTCATCCAGACCATTGAGATAGTCTTGCATACGATCTGCCCATTGATCATAATATTCGGGAATCAACATTGGAATTTTAGTGGATGAGCCTAACAAATGAGAGAATGAAGTCATTGAATTGAGATTGAATGACTCCATTGATGAACAGAAGAAAGCTTTGAGAATTTGAAGAAAACTTTGAGAATTTATCAACAAACTAGATGATTCAAGTCAAAATCACTAGCAGAATCCTCGATTCAATAATTCAATAGTAGAATCGAATCACAGACTGAGATCTAAACCAAAATTTCACTTTTCTCAAAAATGCAGAAACTTCTAAACCAGACAACTGATTTAAAAACTTTAAAAAATAAAAATCAGATAAGAGATATGATTCCTGCTCTGATACCAATTGATGAGTCATGAATTCGAGAATGAAATTAATCAGAGTATGAATCTATGAAAGTATGAGAGATTTGCACAAGGATGTAAATAAAATCTGTTTTCAGCTCAATATTATGCTTTGTGTTTACAGAGAATTCTTAGACAAAATCTGTAAAAAACATTATCTACTCCTGTAGTAAAGACTCTTATCTATAGGAGAACAAAGCATACAAAAAATAAACTAAGGACTATGCGTGAAGCGCTCTTAATACATTGCCTTAGTAAAATAAATTCATAACATACGAAGACATGAAACCCTTCGTATGACAATCTACACCCTTCGACTTATTACAATATTTTTACTCCTACAGTTACCTATAAATGGATAGCAAATCATTTCATAAATCAGATACTTCAAAAAACAAAGATGATTATAAAGAAGTTGAAAGCTAAAGTCAGCAAGAAATTTAATTTGATTGCAAGTGTTGGACAATACAGATTTGCAAGGAAGTATGCATTTCAAGAGATAGGGGTTCTTTAAAAGAACATTATGCAAAAACATGGAGGTATGGATAAGAGATAGAAAGGACTAACCATGGATCAATAATGAAGATGGATGCAAATGTCATGCCTAATGGAGCCACTTACTTCTCAAAGTTTTATGTATGTTTCAAGGGATTAAAGGATGGATGGATTGAAGGTTGTAGGAGGGTAATTGGACTAGATGGTAGCTTCCTAAAGGGAATATGCAGAGGGTAGTTGCTTTCTACTATAGGTAGAGATGAAAACAACCATATATATCGTATTGCTTGGGCTATTGTGTCAGTGGAAAGTAAAGAAACATTGAAGTGCTTTATCAACCTTCTAATTGAGGACCTTGGAATGGGAGTTGGGCATGGACTAACCTTAATATCAGACCAACACAAAGTAATCAATTTCTATTTTTTCCATCTTTATTTGAGCTTATGTTTTGTTTATGTTGTTTATGTTTTGTGTCTATTGCTAATAGGGATTACTTGAGGCTGTGAAGGAAAGGGTTCCTGCATCATAGCATAGGCAATGTGCTAGGCACATATGTGTTACCTTCATGAAACGGTTTAAGGGCTAACCATATAGAAAGATTTTCTGGTATGCTACTGCATCTACTACCCCTGCAAAATTTGAGCAACATATGAATGAAATCAAGAAATTAGAACCACTAGCTTATGATCATTTGATGGAAAGGGGCCCTAAAACTTAGAGTAAAGCATTTTTTTTAGACTGATAGGGCTTGTGATGCATATGAAAATGGTATATATGGGAGTTTTAACTCAGTGATTGAAGCTACTAGGAAGAGACCACTAATCACCATGTTAGAAGAAATTCGAATTTATGTGATGGAGAGGCTTTATAGACAGAAGATTAAGGGGCAAAATTAGGATTTAACCATATACCCTTCCATTAAACTGAAGGTGTCCAAGCTTAAGGACCTTCAAAGGTAAGTGCTTAAAAATGTTTGTCCTTATATATGTTTGTGTTTTAAAATATATGTTCTTATATATGTTTGTCCTTCATTATATGTATGTGGATAGGTTTTTGAAAGTTATATCATTTGATTATCAACAGTATGAAGTCATACTTGGGTATGATGCATATGTTGTGGACATTGGTAGCATGACATGTGCCTACAGAACTTGGCAGTTAACGTGTTACCATTGTGTGCATAGGTATGCTTGCATTGCAAGCCTCAACAGGGATGTAGAGGAGTATGTGTCACCATGGTTTACCACAACAATGTTCTTAAATTGTTATATGTATACCATTAACCCACTAATTGGTAGTGAGATGTGGCCTCATGTAAACTACATCAAGCTATTGCCCCCCCCCCCCCCCCCAAAGAAGAAGAGTACCACGAATACCATCAACAAAAAGAAAAAGGGATCAGATTGAGAGGGAAAACCAAGGAAAAAAGCATTCAGTCACAAAAATAGGTAGTGTGATGAAATGTAACATATGTAGGGAAAGTGGGCATAATAGAACAACGTGTCCTCAAAAACCAATTGAGGAATCATTAAATGCAAGTTCAAAGAACAAGAAACCTAAGAAAGCTAGTATGTTTGATATATATATATATATATATATATATATATATATATATATATATATTATAACTTAACATATTTGACATAACTTAACTTTTCAAGTAATGCAAAACAGGTGAAGTGAAGGTTGCATTGGCACATGGAGTTGATATAGAAAGTGACAGTGAAGATGAAATGGAGTCTGAAAGTGAAGTGAAGTCTTTTAATGTTGAATTTGAAGTTGATGTGCAAGATGAAGTGCAACCTGAAGTTCAAGATGAAGTGCAACATGAAGTGCAACCTGAAGTTCAAGATAATGTGCAAGATGAAGTGCAAGCTGAAGTACAACATGAAGTTCAAACTCAAGTTCACCCTAAAGTTTACCCTGAAGTGCAAGATGAAGTTCACTCTGAAGTTCATCCAGAAGTGCAAGCTGAAGTTCACCCTGAAGTTCAACCTGAAGTGCAAGTTCAAGCTAAAGATGATAACCAAATTGCAGTTCAAGATCAAGTGGAAGTACCAACTTGTCAAGTTTTAGTGGGATAGAGGGCAAGGAAACCTTCAGAAATAATTACAAAACTTAAGATAAGAAAGAAGTGGGAGGGAAAACCGGGAAGCAATGATGATAATCCATATGAGTTATAATGGCTTTTGGCTTCTTTGACTGTTGTTAATGTTTTGGCATCTTTGATTGATATCTTTTAACTTTTGAATCTTTTGGAACATCTTTTTAGTCTAGTTGGAATAGCTTAAATGCATGTTTAAGTGTGTAGTGTTTAACTTTTTGCACATCTTTTGGGTGTAATGAATGTTTAACTGTCTTATGTAAAACTTTTGACACATATTTTGAAATTAATATTCCCTGGAATGTTTATAATTTATTATCATCTTTTTCACATCTTTCTAATACCGTTTGTACTGTTTATAATTTATTACCATCTTTTAGAATACCAAGTGTAATCACAATTCCATTACAATGTTTGTACATTTCCATTCCAATGATTCAATTCCATTACAATATTTATTGCCATCTTCTATAATACCAAGTGCAATAACAATTCCATTACAATGTACAATTCCATTCCAATATTACACTGTTTATTCCCATCTTCTATAATTGCAAGTGTAATAACAATTCTATTACAATGTACAATTCCATTCCAATATTACAATGTTTATTACCATCTTCTATAATACCAAGTGTAATAACAATTCCATTCCAATGATCCAGTGTAACCTTTTTCATTCAAAACATCACAAAAGCATACATAATTTAGTCATACAACATCATAATAAACTAGATAATTTAAAACAACATTTTGACATACAAGAGAAACAACATAATCAATGCAAGTCTATGAGTAAACAATTTCCATTTGACTTTGTCCAGTTCTTGTTTATTTTTGTTCTTCTCTTGTTCAATCTTCATCCTGCATATGCTGATTTCATTCTACTAGGTACAAATTTTCAAGGTAAGATTGGAGCTTTCTTCTGGTTTCTTCCTGTAATGCCTTCTTCAATCTTTCCTCCCTTCATCCTTACCCAACCATTGCCAAAATTTACAGCTTGGACTTTTTCCATTCTTCAAGAAATTTATAAAACATGTTAAATTAAAGGATAAAGAACAAGAAGTAAAAAAAAAAAAAGATTTACCAGTGAGTTTTGACAAACTCTGAATTTCCTTCCAGTATTGCCTGGGGTTTTTGATGTCTTCACACGAGATGGCAACTCGTAATCACATGGATGATCCAGTTGTAATTCGTCTTGTCTTTTGGAGGAAAAAGATGAGGAAGAATATGTCATCGATCGATCTAGGGTTTTAATTAATAAGCAGTTGTATCTCACCCTTCTTATAATGTAAAGACTTCTCAATGACATGTAGGTAATGAGTATTGCAACGTAGAAGCCATGTAGATGCCACATCTCCTAAAACAGGTAATAGCTAGTAATGTTGGTTATTTGTGAATGGTTGAAACAAGTTAGTTGGGTAAATGAGTACAAAAAGCCAAACTTACCTATATGTGAACTGTAACACCCATAAAATTTAAGCCAAATTTAAACTTTTCAAAAACACTTTAAATCAATAATCATTACAACTTTGTTTCCAAAATAGTTTATATAAGAGTTTTCCCAACAATCATAACAAAAGATGAGGAGTTGTACGATCACGCCTTAGCCTTGCCGCGATCCCCCGATGTACCTGAAACAATAAATTGAAACTGTAAGCCTGAAAGCTTAGTGAGTTCCCCCAAAATACCCATACTCACATCTATACACATAGAATCACAAACAACATACTATGGGTATGGGTCAAGTCAACCATCGGGTTGGAATACCCCAGGCCCACAACCAATGGGTTGGATTGCCAACATACTATGGTTCCAATCATCCTCGGGATGGAATACCCCATGCCCAAAACCAACAGGTTGGAATGCCCACATACTACGAGTCCAATCATCCTCGAGATGGAATACTCACGGACCACAACCAACAGGTTGGAATGCGCAGGTCTATTGGCCTCCGTACAAAGCAAATAATCCTCAACCACCAAACAAATGTGTGCACATATATATATAACAGATTATAACATAACATTCTATAGACAACAACTGATCTACCAGATCATACCACATAGCACATAATACTATTCTATATACTAGGATACCGATCTAACAGATCATAACACATACCACGTAATATTATCCTACCCTCTAGGATACCGATCTAACAGATCATACGAACATAACATAACCAGGTAACAATCCAAAGGGTCGGCCTTGGTGCCTTAGACCATTGAGTATAGTGAGGATAACTGACCTTGCAACTGTCAACTGGAAATAGAAAGCTCAACTCTCAAATCACTGCCGCGAACCCCACCACCTATATCCAACACATCATAAGGTTCATAAATTCCTGAATACCCCAGAAGTCAACTGGTTAACCCTTGGTCAAATTCAAAGTCAATTGTCAAGGTCAACAATTGATGTTGACCTCAACTCATCGAGTACCCTGAGCTACTTGCCGAGTTTCTTGCAATACTTGTCTGTTCACCGAGTCACTAGAGTGACTCGTTGAGTTCCTAAGGCTCGTGGTTGAAGCTCCATGGCCACTCGTCGAGTTTCCCCCTTGCAACTCAACAAGTTCATACGCATCCAACTGTTGGGAAAAACCCTAACCGACTCACCGAGTCACTCTACTCACTCGCCGAGTCTTCGACAATCTTCATCGGACTCGTTGAGTTGTTCATCCAACTCATCGAGTTCTAGACTATCTTCATATGACTCACCGAGTCGACCATGCGACTCGCAGAGTCCCTTCTATCCTTCATCCAAAGAAATGCTTTTTAGGCCATGCAAATATTCCAGATTGTAGATCCAACCTCCTTAGGCATGCTTATCACGTAAAGTTGCAAACTTTACATGTATGCAAGGCTTTAAGGCCCTTAAATGACAAAACTAAGATTGAAATGAAGTCTCACACTTGATGGAAGGCTCATACTAGGCAAGACTGATGACTTTATGGATCTAGAGGCCAAAGGGAGTCCAGATCTAAAGTTACAACTTCAGATCTTAGCTCAAACATAAGATGCTTTTCATAACACCCATCCAAAAGAGGTTTTTGATGAACATAAGCCAAAGAGAACAGTCTAATACCTTCAAGAGAATGCTCACTGATGTAGATCTTGGATCCCATGAGTCCTTGCTTCTACTTGCTTGTTTCCCCAAGTGTTTCCTTCTCCAAAATTCCTCCTTCAAGCTTGAACACACCAAAAGAACACACACACTCGATTTAGGGTTTGAGAGGGACAAGAAGCAGTAAAGGGGAGGCTGAGGGAGGCCTATGATCCTGTAAATAGGATGAAATGCCCCATAATTTAGGGTTTCATCTGCCAGATCCAACTTGTCGAGTCTACTCTTGGAATCGGCAAGTAGATCATTAAAACACGCGGACCAACCCGCTACTACTCGACGAGTAGGGCGGCCAACTCGTCGAGTAGACCCAAAAACCAAAAAGATTCATACATAAATCAATACTTAAGAAGCGGGGTGTTACAATTCTCCCCCACTTGAACTAGACTTCGTCCTCGAAGTCTGTTGGGGTAAACAACACCGGGTAATGCTCTCGCATCTCTGCCTCCGGCTCCCACGTCCACTCAGATCCCCTCTGATGTTCCCACTGCAGTTTTACCAAATGTATCTCCTTGTTCCACAGAACTTTCATCTTCCTCTCAAGTATGGCCACAAGGCTCTCCATGTAATTCAGTCATTCATCAACCTAAATATCATGTAATGGCACCACTGCCTCCTGATCTACGATGCACTTTCTCAATTGCGAAATGTGGAAAGTGTTGTGGATCCGACTAAGCTCCTCTGGGAGCTCTCGCCTGTACGCGACCTTGCCAACCCTGGCAATGACCCTGAACGGCCCAATGTATCGGGGACCCAATTTCCCCTCTTCCTGAAGCGAATCACACCCTTCCAGGTCGAGACGTTCAGGAGTACCATATCATCCACCTAAAACTCTAACTCATATCGACGTATGTCGGCGTAAGTCTTTGTCGACTATGAGCGGTCTGCAATCGCTACCTAATCTGCTGAATTTTCTCGGTAGTCTGTAGAACTACCTCCGTCCGTCCCATCACCCTGTGTCCAACCTCGCCCCAACAAACCGGGGTGCGATATTTCCGCCCATATAACAGCTCGAAAGGCGGGGCGCCGATGCTGGAATGATAGCTATTGTTGTAGGCGAACTCTGTGAGTGGCAGGTGGGAATCCCAACTCCCACCAAAATCAATGACACATGCCCTCAACATATCCTCGAGAGTGTGAATATTTTGATCGCTCTGCCCATCGGTCTAAGGATGAAACATTGTACTAAAATGAAAACATGTTCCTTGTTCCTCGTGGAACTTGTGCCATAAACAAGAAGTAAATCTGACATCCCGGTCGGAAACAATGGAGACCGGAACCCCATGGTGAGCGACAATCTCGAGAACATACACATCGGCCAACTTCTCGGCCAAGGAACCCTCCCGTATAGCCAAGAAATGGGCACTCTTGGTCAATCGATACACGATGACCCATATAGCGTTAAACCCCTTTGTCATCCTCGGCAGTTTGGTAATGAAATCCATTGTGATATGCTCCTATTTCCACATGGGAATCTCCAGAGGCTGCATCATACCATGCGTCCTATGATGCTCGACCTTGATCACTCTATAGGTCAAGCACCTCTCGACGTACCAAGCAATTTCTTGCTTCATACATGGTCACCAGTAACTCAAACTCAGGTCCCTGTACATCTTGGTGGCCCCCAGGTGAATAAAGAAATGAGATTTATGAACCTCTTCCATAACTATCTGTCTGACCCCACCGGACATTGGAACCCATACTCGACCGCATCGGGTCAATAATCCTCGGCTATCCTTCACAAGTCGGGTGTTCTCGCCCTTGATCCTCTCCATCTTCCAGTTCTCCGGTCGCATGCCCTCAGCTTGGGCATCTCGGATCAAACTCGCAAGCAGAGAATCCACCACTATCCTCATA